AGCCAGGAAAAGAATCAGGGAACTTGAAGATAGGTTTAAAAAAAAAAAAAGTACCCAAAATAAAACACAAAGAGAAAAAAAGAGGGAGAAAAAAAACTAACAGAGCATCCAAGAGAAATGGGACACTATCCAATAATCTAATGAAATGTAACTGGAATCCCAGAAGGAGAAGAGAAAAAGAATGGAGCAGAAGAAGTAGTTTAAAAGATAATGGCCCTAAATTTCCCAAACTTAACAAACCATATCAAAGCACAGATCAAGAAGCCCAGAGAAGTCCAAGCAGGAAAAAATACCAAAACATCACCTAAATATAACATATTCAAACTGCTAAAAAACAAAGATAAAGACAAAATCTTGAAGGCAGCCAGAGGAAGAAATAACAAAAATCAAGATTATGAGAGACTTCTTATAAGAAAATAGATTAAGTAAGAAGACAAAGGGGAAACTTTAAAGTACAAAAAGAAAAAAGTGTCAACATAGAATATAGTAAGTCCTTCCTTATCATTGATAGGTTGTTAGAGACTTTAAGTGAAATAGTATACTGTATAATATAATCAATTTTCTATTGGCTACTTGATATAAACAAGAGTTAAGTTCCTAGTACATAATAAAGTTGCAGTTTCCAAGAACCTAGGCTGTATCATACCTAGCTAAAGTATCTTTAAAAACTGAAGGTTTGTTTTTCCAACAAACCAAAGCTGAGATAATTCACTGCCAGCAGACCTGTGTTATAAGAAATGTTAAAGGAAGTTTTTCAGGAATAAAGAGTGTGACACTGGATAAAAATCTGGATGTACACAAAGAAATAAAGAATGCCAAAATTGGTAAAATTTAGAGCAAAAGACCCTTTTTTCATATTTTTATTCATTCTAAAAGATAGTTGACTATCTAAAGCAAAACTACCAATGTATGGTGGGGTACCTTGTGAGTGGTTAAGATATATAAAATTAAGTGTATGACAATAGCACAAAAGATGAAAGAGGAATAGGATATTTACTATTTTGCATAGATTGTCATATTTTGTAAAGAAAGGGTCTCACTTGCTACGTTGCCCAAGCTGTACTTGAACTCCTGGCCTCAAGCAATCCTTCCACTTTAGCCTCTTGAGTAGCTGGGACTACACGCACATGCCACTGTGCTCTGCTATATTTTGCATGGATTTTACCCTATACATGAAGTGGTACAATATTACTGAAAGGCACATTGGGAGAAAGATGTACACTGTCAACTCTGAGTCAAATATAAAACAACTTAAAACTGCTTCTCTGCCTTTTGCCTAAGATCAAGTGTAAAACAACTTAAAAAAGAAATAAATGTAATAATCCAATATTGGAGTTAAAAATGGAATAATAAAATATTCAATTAATCTATTATGCAAGCAGGCAGAAAAAGAAAAATGGAATAAAGAATCCATGAAATAAATAGAAACAACCAGCAAGATGATACAGATTTAAAGCCAACCATAATAAATATAAATAGTCTAAGCATACCAATTGGAGATCTTCAGATTGGATGAAAAGATAAGACCCACCTATATAATATCTATAAGAAACCCACTTTTTTTTTTTTTTTTTTTTTTTTTTGAGACAGAGTCTCACTTTGTTGTCCAGGCTAGAGTGAGTGCCGTGGCGTCAGCCTAGCTCACAGCAACCTCAAACTCCTGGGCTCAAGCAATCCTGCTGCCTCAGCCTCCCGAGTAGCTGGGACTACAGGCATGTGCCACTATGCCCGGCTAATTTTTTATATATATATATCAGTTGGCCAATTAATTTCTTTCTGTTTATAGTAGAGACGGGGTCTCGCTCTTGCTCAGGCTGGTTTTGAACTCCTGACCTTGAGCAATCCGCCCGCCTCGGCCTCCCAAGAGCTAGGATTACAGGCGTGAGCCACAGCGCCCGGCCGAAACCCACTTTTATTAAATATTCAAAAAGAAATGAGTTGAAAATAAAAGGACAGAAATAGATATACTACACAAACTCTAATACAAAGGAAGCTGGGGTAGCGATATTAATCTAAGACAAATGAGACTTCAGAACAAACAATATTACTGGGAATAAAGAAGAACACTACATAATAATAAAAGGGTCAATTCACCAGGAAGACCTAATGAGGCCGGGGCACAGTGGCTCATGCCTATAATGCTAGCACTTTGGCAGGATAAGGTAGGAAGATTGCTTAAGGCCAGGAATTTGAGACCAGCCGAAGCAAGATTGAGATCCCATCTCTACAAAAAATAGAAAAAATTAGCCAGGCATGGTGGTGTGTACCTGTAATCCCAGCTACTCGGGAGGCTGAGCAGGAGGATCACTTGAGCCTCGGAGTTTGAGGTTGCAGTGAGCTGTGATGAGGCCACTGCTTCCTAGCCCAAGCAATAGAGCTAGACACTGCTCAAAAAACAAAACAAAAGAAGACCCAACAATCTAAATGTATATACATGTGACAACAGGTCTTCAAAACACATGAAACAAAAACTGACAGAACTGAAGGCAGTATGAAACAAATCCACAATATTACATGGATACTTCAACATCCCTTTTTCAGAAACCATTAGAACAAGTGGATACAAAGTCAGTAAGGACACAGAAAACCTCAACAACATTATGAATCAGTGTGGCACGGTGGCTCATGCCTGTAATCCTAGCACTTTGGGAGGCTGAGGAAGGAGGATCCCTTGAGTCCAGGAGTTTAAGGCTGCAGTGAGCTATGATCATGCCAGTGCACTCCAGCCTGGGTAACAGAGCAAGACCTTGTCTCAAAAAAAACGATGACAATAACAAAAGTAACAAAAACCCAACATTATCAACTATCAACCAGCTAGACTTATTTGACATTAATAGAACATTCAATCCCAAAGCTGCTTAACATACATTATCTAAAATGCTCACAGAACATTGACCACAATGGATCATGTTCTTTTTTTTTTTTTGAGACAGATTCTCACTCTGTTGCCTGGCCTAGAGTGCCATGGCATCAGCCTAGCTCACAGCAACCTCAAAGTCCTGGGCTCAAGCAATCCTTCTGCCTCAGCCTCCCGAGTAGTTGGTACTATAGGCATGCGCCACCATGTCTGGCTAATTTTCTTATATATATATTTTAGTTGGCAGCTAATTTCTTTCTTTCTTTCTTTTTTTTTTTTTTTTAGTAGAGAAAGGGTCTCGCTCTTGCTCAGGCTGGTCTCGAACTCCTGAGCTCAAAAGATCGGCCCGCCTCAGCCTCCCAGAGGGCTAGGGATTACAGGCGTGAGCCACCACGCCTGACTGACCATGTTCTTAATCATAAAATCAATTATAAGAAGATAATCTGGAAAACCCCCAAATACTATGAAATTAATCAATATATTTAATAGTTCTAAACAACCTATGAGTCAAAAAGGAAATCCCAAAGGAAATATTAGAAAATATTTTGAAATCAATGAAAATAAAAATACAATATATCAAAATCCCTGGGACACAACTAAAACCATAATTGGAGGGTAATTTATGACATTAAATGCTTATATTAGAAAAGAAATATCTCAAATCAAGACACGATCTTAGCTACCACCTGAAGAAACTAGAAAAAGAACAAATCAACTTAAACAAAAGAAAGGAAATAATAAAGATATGAACAGAAATTTAAACACACAATAGAAAAAGATTAATGAAGCAAAAAGTTGGACCTTGTAAAAGATCAATACAATTAATAAACCTCTATCTAAACTTATCAAAAAAAAAGAGAGGTCACAAATTAATAATGTAAGAAACTAAAGAGAGGGCATGACAACAGACCTGACAGACATTAAAAGAATAAGGTAATATTATAATTTTGTTCCCATTTATATTTGCAACTTAGAGGAAATGGACCAAGAATTCCTTGAAAAACATAAACAACGAAAGCTCACATGAGAAGAAATAGATAGCCTGAATAGTTCCATTATCTCTTAAATAAATTGAATTCCTGCTTAAAAACTTGACATAGAAAACTCCAGGGCCAGAGAGCTTTATTGATGAATTCTATCAAACATTACAAAGAAGAAAATGTATCAATTCTATACAAACTATTCTAGCAAAGAGGAGGGAACATTTTCCAACTCCTCATTTTATGAAGTCAGCATAACCTTAATTCTAGAACTAGACAAAGACATTACAAGGAAATTACAGACCAACATCCCTCAAAAAGATAGATACAAAAACCCTCAACCAAATATTAGCAAATCTGATGCAGAAATATATAAAAATAGCAAATCTCTTGGCCAGGCGCAGTGGCTCACGCCTGTAATCCTAGCACTCTGGGAAGCTGAGGTGGGCGGATCATTCAAGGTCAGGAGTTCGAAACCAGCCTGAGCAAGAGCAAGACCCTGTCTCTACTAAAAATAGAAAGAAATTAATTGGCCAACTAAAAATACATAGAAACATGTAGCCGGGCATGGTGGTGCATGCCTATAGTCCTAGCTACTCGGGAGGCTGAGGCAGGAGGATTGCTTGAGCCCAAGAGTTTGAGGTTGCTGTGAGCTAGGCTGAGGCCATAGCACTCTAGCCCAGGCAACAGAGTGAAACTCTGTCTCAAAAAAATAAAATAATATAAAAATAGCAAATCTCTTTTAAAGGCTTTAATCCTGACCTGGGATGACAACAAAGACAATAAATGGCATCTGATGCCAGTCTAAATTAAATTCTGATGTAAGCACAGAATTTTATGTATCTAACTTTACAAAGCTACTCTCAAAGGAAAGGCACAGCAGACAGCTTAATTTAGGAAATTAAAAAGCAGATTATATGGTAGCTGAAACATTACAGAAGGAACTTTAGAGTTAAAAGCAATCTACAGACTCATGAACACACACTCAACTAAAGATTGGTCAGTCTATCTCCTCAGTTTCCAAAAAAGAAATTTAGATAAAGTTATTAGCCTACGCTAAAACACTCAGCTCAGTTTCTTTAAGGTTTCCAAGATTATAATCCAAAGCATAGCTCCTAATCTAGGTTCTAAACATATATATCCAGTTTGGCTTAAATACTTACCTTCATCCTGGCTAACATCTGAGCATGGTTTCTTCTTTGACTCCGAGTTCCCAGTTTTCTCATCACCATCCAGGAGAGGAATATAGTCTGTTTTTCCAACAGTTTCTCCCACAACATCATCAAAGGCCTCTGCCTCCAGTGTAGCAATAAAGTCCCGCTTTATCTCTCCTTCGATTTCTGGAGGTGGCTCTGTTAATGCATCTGCAAGACTCAGGTCAGCCATTCTGCACTGCTGCAACTGCCTGGTTAAGGGGAAAAAGATGTTTCATATCATGAGCAAAGACATTACTGTCTTGACTAAAGACAGACAGTATGGACCTTATCATGTGGTAAGCACTGCTTCTTCATGAATCACTTGTGGATAGCCTTGTCAACCAAACTACAACACTTAGCCCTACTAACATCAAAAATACAGACATGTTCCCTGAATTAGCCAGGGGAGATGGTCCTTCTCTGTGGTCATGCATATTACCATTTATATAGAATACCAGGCTCTTAATTTTTAAACATAATCTAAGGTTAAGTATATTCTACTACAGGCAAAATTATAGGTGAATAGCCTAGAAAATACAGAAATAATGTAGTTTAAATAGCCAAAGGGCCTGCAATAAATTGAGCACCTAGTACATGCAGAGCACAGTAAGAAATAAGTGTGCAGGCCATGTGTGGTGGCTCATGCCTGTGGTCCTGGCACTATAGGAGGCAAAGATGGGAGGATAGCTTGAGGTCAGGAGTTTGAGACCAGCCTGAGCAAAAGAGAGACCCCGTCTCTACTATAAGAAAAAAATTAGCCGGGCAACTAAACATCAAAAAATTAGCCGGGCGTGGTGGCCTATAACTGTAGTCCCAGTTACTTTGGGGGCTGAGGCAGGAGGATCACTTGAGCCCAAGAGTTTGAGGCTACAGTGAGCTATGATCATGCCACTGCACTCCAGCACTCCAACCTGAGTGACAGAATGAGACCCTGTCTCTAAAAGATAAAATAAAATAGTAATTTTAAAAAAATAAGTGTGTAGGTTACCATCTATCCCTGCTTCCAAAGACTCTAATTCAATAGAAACTCCAAAACACTCATAAGGATAAGTTGACATAAAAGTTATATTGTTGACTGGGTAATGTAAGTTAAATAATAGTGCAGCTTTGTTGCATGGTGTAATGGCTGCTTCAAGTTTGCCCCTAGAAATTTATTCTTCTTTATCTTTCCCCGTACTAACCAATCCCCATGATTGGAGTTAGGCCAATGAGAAGACAGGAAGAAAATGGTTAAAACAGGACTGTTTCACTGCTATACCCTGAAAGAAAGGCCCGTGATTGACAGCTATTAAGTTGCACTGGTTATCTTCTTTCTCAAGTGAATGACCTTCCTTCCAATAAATCGTTCTTTTGCCTAATTTAGTCAATCTATTTCTGTTGCTTGCAACTGAAAAATCTCAACTAATACATATAATCTTTTTCCAACCCAAATTTGAAAAAGTCAAAATTTACTATGATTCAAGCCACTTAATGGCCAGGCTTTTCTTTCAAGCTATTCTCTGTTGTCTGCTTTCCAACAAATGTACTTAGGAAAAAGAAATAAGGTCAGGTGCAGTGGCTCACACCTGTATTCTTAGCACTCTGGGAGGCCGAGACAGGAGGATCACTTGAGGTGGGAGCTCGAGACCAGCCTGAGTGAGACCCCTGTCTCTACTAAAAATAGAAAAATTAGCTGGGTGTCATGGCATGTGCCCGTAGTCTCAGCTACTTGGGAGTCTGAGGCAGGAGGATTGCTTAAGCTGAGGAGTCTGAGGTTGCTGTGAGCTAGGGTGACACCATGGCACTCTACTCAGGGCAACAGAGGCTGTCAGAAAGAAATATATAGCAAGGAACATGGTTGTTATGGTCGTGCTATCATCACCTTTGTCCCCACACAGTCCCTTTCTATTTATACTAACCTTCTATGCTGCAGATATGAGAATCACAGCCCATTTTCAGTCATTACTAAAATTTCTAGTTTCCCCCCAAAGGACCAAGCTGTGAGGCTACCACAATCACAAAACATGCACAAAGCAAATACTTCCAGAACTCTGAGAAACTAGAAGCCATCCTACCCTCCAATTCCCAAATCCAACACCTGAAAGGCTTTTTGCTGTATATTTCAATGGAGAAAGTACAAGAGTGGTAGCACAGATACTCAAGTCAAGATAAAACCGAACCCATGTGGATGCTCAGCTGTAATCCTAGCACTCTAAGGGAAGCCAGGCGGTCGCTCAAGGTCAGCATTCCGAAACCAGCCTGACAGAGTGAGAACCTCGTTTACTAAAATAGAAAGAATTAACTTGCCATAAAAACATACATTAAAAATTAGCAGGCCATGGTGGTGCATGCCTACAGTCCCAGCTACTGGGGAGGCTGAGGCAGAAGGATTGCTTGAGCCCAGGAGTTTGAGGTTGCTGTGAGCTAGACTGGATGCCATGGCACTCTAGAGTCTTAAAAAAAAAAAAAAATCATATATATATACTAGCTGATATATATTACACCCGATACAAACATCACACACACACACCCTTGTGAATGAGAAGTAGCTACTCTAAAAAAAAATGACCATTTATACTATTCCTCTTCTATCCATATAAATAATAAAGTTAACTTTAAATGGATTTGTGAGGAGGAGGCAAGAGAATTTGAAACCTGGGTACAGAAGTTCCTATGCTTCACCGAAGCACTGGTTTAATCTGACACTCACTGTGGCCTTGAGTGAGTCACCTTCCGGGGATGAGTACCCTAATCTGTAAAATGAGAGTGTTATGTTAAATGATTCCTGAAGTTGATTATTCTATAAGCTACTTACAATTCAATTTCATCACTTCAGTTAGCTATAAATAAACAAACTTCATACAGACCCCCAATAGAAAAATGTATGACTACTATTTCATATATCAAGTACTTTCAATTACAACCAGGCTCAGGTTTATTAAAAGGCAAAAGCTTTTTTGGCCAAGGGAGGGAATGAAAACAAATTCACCCGTGCAAGGTACTCTGCTTGAGCCAATCTGACTGGAGCCTAAGAAACTCCACCCGGTCCTGGCTAATATCAAAGGAGACTTGATACCACTCTGCTGGAAAATAAGCCCATATTATCTAACCAGGCACCAAGAGAACACACAGTTTTCAGGCATAGCACTTTGGACATTGATATTTTATTCTGACCATATGCCTGAAGTGGACTATATACTGAGAAGGGTTTTAAAAATAGGTAAACTAAGGCAGGAAGAAACTATGACATGATGATGAAGTGTAGAACAGAATCTTGGTTGCTTAACTACCATCTCACTATTAATAGATATGAGCTCATAAACAGTAAATAAGAATATATGATAAGGTCACAAGTACCTTCTCTGTTGTATGGTTTATTTTAAATAGTTAAAAAAACTTTGGAATTAATTACTGAACTAAAAATAAAAATGCTTTACAGATCTATACAGATTAAATTGTGTTCATATCTAACTTAAATACACAGAAGATTTGGGCAACATTTTAAGCTCCAGGAAGTCCTCCCCAAATTTTTACGTCAGTCTCATCTACAGCCGCTCATTTGCGTTCTGTGCTCATTCTGTCTGATGAGAAATTGGCAATCTAGTTTACAAATGGCCTGTTGCTGCCTATGTCCTCCCCCATTTACCCCTTGAAAGGTGTTGCTATGAAGATAAAATGAAGGAAGAAGACTCATGAAAAGCAAGAACAGAAGCCCACTATCATACTCAATTTTCCTAACCAGTGAAGTATTTTCATTTCACACTATCAAATTAGCCAAATTTCTACCAAGATTTGTTTCTAGTAGCCAACATTCTCTTTTTTTTTTTTTTTTTTTTTTTGAGACAGAGTCTCGCTTTGTTGCCCAGGCTAGAGTGAGTGCCGTGGCATCAGCCTAGCTCACAGCAACCTCAATCTCCTGAGCTCAGGCGATCCTCCTGCCTCAGCCTCCCGAGTAGCTGGGACTACAGGCATGCACCACCATGCCCGGCTAATTTTTTCTATATACATTAGTTGGCCAATTAGTTTCTTTCTATTTATAGTAGAGACAGGGTCTCGCTCTTGCTCAGGCTGGTTTCGAACTCCCGACCTCGAGCAATCTGCCCGCCTCGGCCTCCCAGAGTGCTAGGATTACAGGCATGAGCCACACAACATTCTCTTTTAAAACATATAGAATCCCATTTCTTAATTTACAAGTAGGTAAAAAAGCATATACCCGTGGAAGGACCATTGTTCATACCTCTGAAGGTGTCTGAGTTGTTGGTGTGAAAGGGAGAAAAGTAATTTAGCAACATGGAAGTTTCAGGGGGAAAAAGCAGATATAGATAAGGTATCAAAGTAGGAGGAGCAAGTCCAGGGGCTTGGAGGTAAAAGAAAGTTATTAATATAATGCCAAAGGCTGGGCCCAGTGGCTCACGCCTGTAATCCTAGCACTCTAGGAGGCCAAGGCAGGTGGATTGCTCAAGGTCAGGAGTTTGAGACCAGCCTGAGCAAGAGCGAGACCCCGTCTCTACTAAAAATAGAAAGAAATTAATTGGCCAACTAAAATATATAGAAAAAAAATTAGCCGGGCCTGGTGGCACATGCCTGTAGTCCCAGCTATTCAGGAGGCTGAGGCAGGATGATCACTTGAGCCCAGGAGTTTGAGGTTGCTCTGAGCTAGGCTGACACCAAGGCACTCTAGCCTGGACAACAGAGAGAGATTCTGTCTCAATCAATCAATCAATCAATCAATCAATCAATAAATAAATAAATAAAAATAATACCTCCTGTCAGTTTTGAATAACCACACCAGGCCTAGCTAGAAGTCCAATGCGCTATCCATTGCGCCACAGAGCCAGCCACCTCCTGTCAGTTTTGAAAGAAAACTTTCTTCTTAATGACGTGGACTAGCTTAGAAACAAAATTATCATTTGTGATATTGCTTTTCTGAGGCAAAAGTACATTATGAGTTCTAATCAACCAATTTAATCTTTTAATATTTAATATTAAATCTTTTAATTATTATTAAAAGTAGGAGACTGCTCATAATGCTCACTTAAGTTTTCTCTATAATTGATATCCTGTCCTTTTGGGGGGTGGGTTATAGATAAGACATGGAACTGTACATGTATCTGGGCTAGTATTTTCTTTTATACTGTTTTTTGCATGACTGATGTAAACAACAAAGAATTCTGAAGCTACCACTAACACTGCTATCCTAGGACATTATTGAGAATGCTATGGCCAAAAT